ATTGGAAAAAAAGATTATCGAATTTCCAGAAATAATTAGAGATAAAAAAGAGCTAGAAAGCTTTATCGGATTTTTAAATTATTCTGAAAAATTTATAAAAAACTGTTTAAAATGCAAAGTCCATTTTACCAAAAACTTAGAAAAGGAGTTGCATTGGAATGGACACAAGAAGATATTAAAATGATAAACAAAATAAAGAAAATATGTGAAAATTTACCTGAATTAAATATTCCAAATGATGATGATTTCTATATTTTAGAAACTGATGCATCTCTATTACACTGGAGAGCAATCCTAAAAAAACAAAGAAAATCATAAAGAATTTCTTTGTAATCCATTGTGTAAATGCCTAGAAGAATTTGTTGTATACACTTCAGGTACTTTTAAGGATGCAGAAACCAGATATGATATTAATCGTGAAGAATGTTTGGCTATTAAGAAAGGAGTAGCAAAATTTGAACCTTATTTGTTACCAAGAAGTTTCTTATTAGAGCTGATAATAATCAAGTGAAACCATTATTGACAAATAAACTTGGAACAAGTGCAGCTGAAAAGCCACTTATTAGAATGTAAATGTGGTTTGCGCCATTTAAATTTGATATTGTCCATATTAAAGGAAAAAACAATTTTATTCCAGATTTCTTAATCAGGAATGGAGCAAATCAAGAAGGAACTCGAACCATTGAAGTTCGAGATGAATGTGAAGATTGCTGCGATAGAATTCAAGATAATAATGATGAAAATGGTTGCTGGTATCTGAGAAAGCCAACGGGGCTATATTATCTGAAGGCCCTAGTGCCAATAAATCTGAAGGTTTTTATGCCAATATTGAACAAGAAGCATTAAAGCTTCATAATCTATCTGTCAAGGAGAACACTACTTTGTCTCCCTCACCGGAGTCAATTTATACAAAGGATAATATCTCTATACCAGAGCTAAATCGCTCAAATATTATCAAAGCCTGCAATACCCCCTGGTGTTATGGATATAAAAAATAAAGATGATTTTATTTTGATATATGTATTGTTCAATCTTGCCTGCTGCTGGTTCACCAGTATAGGAGGATGGATGAAAACTCTAACGTATGGAACTTATAACAAAATTAATCTATATCCAGGAGCATCAGCTTATTGGATTCACACTCTTTATGAAATAGGAAATATAATTTGTATTTACCCGTCTGAATCATTAAAAAGATATTTCTATGCTACCAAAGGATGTTGTTCGAACTATTGAAAGATATTGTCAAGTTCTTAAACACAAGAATATTTATATTAGGTTTTTCTCTGCTTTTTCTGAATGGGAAGATGAAGAAGATAAGTTGCTTCCAGTAAGCCATGTCATAAGAATAGCTACCAATTCTAAGCATTTTCTAGCCTGAGAAAAGTGAAGTTCATGAAACTATACCAGAAGACACTATCAAGATAATAGCTTTCTGTAGAGTCAAAGGATATAAGGAGCAGTTCGAGCATATCCAAAAGGTTATTGAAGAAAAACAAAATATTTGGGTTTACGAGTCACAAGATCACATGATTTATAGTAAAACTGTTGTACCTACTAAACAAGAAGATTGACACTATCTCGACACATGATGTGATCATATCTTTGAAGGACAAGCTAATGGGACACAAAAAACAAAAGAGGAGCTGTGCAAACAGTTTTGACGTTATCCTAATCATAAGTGCGAGTGCTGTTGCACTGAAGGCGATATCTCACCAATCTCTCTTGACCCATCAGAATTTCTGGAAGAGTGGTTTGAGTCACATATGGAAAAGTAATGGACCCCTTTATCACTACTTTATCAAAATCATTTTGATAAAGAAAAACTGTAGATTTACCTCAATTATTTCCAGATTAGGACAAGAAAACTTTAGGCCACAGTAAGATACCCAATATCTTACACAGTTAAAGCAACAATAATGAAGGACAATTGTTGAGCTTTTTCCAGTCTAAAAATTGAAGACTAGTTCTCAAGAGCGAGGGGGGAGTTAAAAAATTTATCTTTCTACCTTGTATTCCAAGTCTTGTAACAGTTTCAATTTTTTTCTTTGAAGTGAAGTGTGTAATAAGGTAATCTCTATGAAGTTCTAATTTCCTTAGAAAAAGTACCAAGAGTGTAGCCGAAGTATGTATATGTAGTCTTATATGAGAGATATTAGTGTGATGTGTTTATGAAAGTTGTTTGAAAATGGTGTATTCTTATCCTTATTACTTTTTCAAAAACTCTTTTCTTACTTATACTCTAACGGTGAAAACTTTGAGGGTTAGTGCAAGTATCTTGTTGCTGTTTTACCGTGTGTAGGTGTTTTTAGCATTGTTGAGAAAGCATTGAGAACCCTGTTACCATTCAAGGTGATGTTTTAACAAAGAGTTGAAAGAAAAACTGTGATTTTGTGTGATTCATTGTGAGATATGCAAAAGAGTCAGAGAGAAAAACAATTATGTGTGGAAGTCATGTTGGAATATAACCCACTTTCTTAAATTCAAACAGCACCGATCACTTAGTGCAAGCTCAAGGGAAATCTCATTGATATTGCTTTGCCTTTATCTTCTACTTCAATACTGTAAAATCTTTCTTATTTATATCAAATACTTGCATTAATTGTTGCACTCATGTTATTTATAAAGTTCTTATGACTTTTATTCATAGCCTAAGAAGAAAATCTTAGGGATTATTTATCATAATATTGATAGTTTGATGCCAAGATATAGTATTAAAGGATTAGATAATTTACTAGAAAGATTGTTAGAAAACATAAATAATATTACTTCTCAATTAGAAAATATTAATATACTATCTGAAGAATATAATAGACTTAAAGAAAAATACGAACAATATGTTATAAATTATTCTAATTTATTAGATCATAGAATGGATTTATATTTTGATATTCAAAATAGAAGGAATACAAGATAAACCTAAAAGATAGGACTAATTCTGCAATATACTTATTTGAATTCATTAAGGGTAATTTAGACCTTTTATCAATTGACAAAGTTTAGTGATTTGACCCGGCCATTTTGAAGATTGTCCCATAATATATCAACATAAAATAGTTCTATTTTTATTGAATAATCAAATTTCATTGAATAAAATGTCATAAAATATATATTTTTTAGAATTTTGAACCAAACATCTTTTTTAGTTTCTATTTTGAAAAATAATTTTCAAAATGACAAACTAAATGTATTTTAACTATTTTAAAACAGATCCTCAAAATACAAAACTAAAAAGGAACTCAAAACTCAAAATTGAAACTGAGGCACAAACCAAATGGCCTTTAGATTTCAAATGCGAACAACCCAAAATTGTCTCTCTTTTTTCTCTTTTTTATTCATTTTCAAAAAAAAAAAAATCGGGAGGAAAAAAAAATTTCTTTGATTCATTGTCAACCTCAAATTTATTGAGAAAGAGCCTAATTTAAAATGAAAATTTATTGATTTAATCTATTTAACTTTAGAAGAATTAAAATTTTTTGAAGAAAAATATTCAATTGAACAATTAAAGTAGTTATTAATTTTTTTAAAAAAATATTTTACAAACCATAAAAAACATAATAACATTTCAAAGTTGAATTATATTAGTAAACAAACCAATTCAATGACCGGAAATTAAAACTTCATTATTCTAATAACATTTTTTCTCTAAAGAAGGAAGACCTTCAAAACTTAATAAAAGTCAACTATAACGTATCTATAATTAATCAATTGTTTCCAGAAAAATTTCCCCTGTTTAATATTTAATGCAGAAAAACAAAAGATTAAATTTTAAATAAACTTAAAAGTGTTACAAATTTATTTCTAATTCCTAATGGAGATATGTGAATGGAGGTTGCAAATATGTTAAAGCAAATAACTCATAATTATTAGGTCTTTAAGAATAGCAAAATATATATTTTAACATAACCGTTGTTTCACCTTTTAAGTGTTATCCTTTACAATTCAAATGGAATTTTGATTCTATTATAATTATAAAATATAAGTATAAATAGATGAGCTTCAATTTTTAAGTGATTAAAACTTAATTCGACTAACATATAATTTTAAGAACTTCAAATAAAAGAATAGAATTTAAAATTTGGATCAGATCCACCCATGGCGACCTAACTTTATAATTAGTATCATCAAGGTTACCCAATTTGATTTTTTCATCACGATCACCCAATTTTATACTGTGTCATCATGACCATCCAATTTAATTTAATTTTATCATGATCATCCAATTTCATTTAATGTTTCACCATGCCCACCTAATTTCAGATAGCATATTATCATATTCACCCAATTTCTTTTTACTGTTTTCACTAATTTGAAAATAGCTAAAATGGTAACTTTGTTTATATAAAATAAAATTAAAAAAAAAGTTTTTTTGAATTTTAAAATTAATTTTTATTTTATTTTATTTTTCTAAGTAACTTTAAAAAAAAAAGTTCTTATTTTATTTTAAAAATATTTTTAAATAATTTTTTATTTTATTTCTCTAACTAATTTTTTTATAATAAATATTTATATTATTTTTTTAAGTAACGCTTTTTTAAATAAGTTTTTATTTTTATTTTATATATAATGGAAAGTTATCATTTTCCCTTTTTTCAAATTAGCGAAAATGGTGAAAAAAAGTCAGATGCCCATGATGAAACGGTATATAAAATTGAATGATCATGGTGAAACATTATATGAAATTGTATGATTATGGTAAAATAAAATTAAATTGGGCCACAATGACATAAAGTATAAAGTTGGATGGTCATGATAAAATAAAATCATATTGAGTGATCATGGTGACATCAATCATAAAGTTGGATGGTTATTGATGAATTTAACCCCGTAAATTTTTATTTTATACTTAATCAAGGAAACGTGAAGTTGAATTATAATTAATTTATGGAGTTATAAAATTATCAACTACTAATCATTATAATACATTCATAATTAAGGGTATTATTGTCAAAAGGAAAAAAATATAAAGGTAAAATTGTTATTCGAAAGTTTCTCCACGATCCAATTTTTAATTATTAAATTATTGTAGATAATATTTGAGTTTTAGGCGAACACGTTATTTTGCTTGGAGAAGCGCCATGGACGAAGAAGAGAAAGGTTTATTCTGGAAGCTCCCGGTGATGAAGTCGAAGCAATTGGGCAAACTTGGCCCTGCCTTTGGCATCGGTGCTGGTTGCGGTTTCGGTTTTGCTGTCGGCCTCGTTGGAGGTGACAGTCCAATTTCCTTATAGTAAACTCTAATTGAGATATTGAATGCTACTTTACAAGAAAAAATTGAATATATCTATTTAATTGCTCTATAATTCTCTCTCTTTATCATTTCAAGGTGCGGGGTTTGGCCCGGGAATTCCAGGGTTACAGCTGGGGTTTGGATTTGGAGCTGGATGTGGGATTGGGTTGGGATTCGGGTACGGTGTCGGCAGGGGCATTGCTTATGATGAGAATCGCAGATATTCTAACGTCGGAAAGCTTTTTAATGACCGTGGAAATCTTCCTAATCAGTGAGCCTGTTTAATCTTCTGCGCTTTTTTTTTAGCATGAATTACGTATAACTTTACTTATAGTATTATGGTTTAAACAATATTAAGTTAGGAGAGGCGATCAAGACTGGGTCTTGAATCATTTCTGAACAGAAAAATGCATCCGAAGAAATGAGTAATTCAAGAAAACATAATTATACTGTATCATTAAATGTGCCTAAACTGGTTTTATTAAGTTGAGAACTAACAAGACCATCAATAAATTAACAAAATTACGATTGCTATGGTTGAATTGTTTCACACATGCCACGTTTAGTTGGCACTTAATCCTTCTACATATACTGTTTTTATTTCTCTGCTTGCGTCAAGTACTAGATTTATAATAACTTTATGCTTATAGCCCTTGTTCGAGCCCCATTTTAAGGTAAATAATGCATTTTTAAATAGTGATTGATGGAGAATGTGTGGTTAAAAATTAAGAAATTTTTTTAGGTTTATGTGTAAAATTATTTTATTAAAGAATGTGGTTGAAGATGAGTTTTGAAAAAAAGAATTTTGAGAAGAATGGGGCTCTTACAAGGGCATAAT